TTTTTGTAGCGCACAGTAATCTGTCCCTATCATTAATTGCTTCAACGTGGGAGATATATATACAGCCTCCTGCATTGGGCAGACTGGAGGCTTTTGGAAACAGCAGATCACAGATCAAAGTACAGGGCCAATAAAATTGGCCCAGTACCATGTGATTGCTATGACCAATCACAGCAATCCCACTTGTAAACAAAAAGTCTGCTCATGGCAGCCTTTGAGCTGTTCATGGTGATTGGGGTGTGTGAGAGGAAACTGAGTGTCTACTACAGTCAGAGTGTAAAAAAAACAAAAACATTACAGCCCACTGAACAGTACAGTGTCATAATGGTGATATGGTACTGCTTTGTCTATTGATCAGAGACTGCTGCACTGATGACACTTTCACCAGAGCAAGTGCAGTTCACTATGGCGATGGTGTACTGCTGGGCGGTGATCATGTACTGGCTTCTCTGATGACACTGTATGTCAGTGCAGCCAGCCATTGTCCCTGATCACTGCCACAATAGTATATTGTCGCCATAGTGACACTGCACTTTTTCTGGTGACAGTATATATGTCTGTCTCTGATCACCATCATGGATCACCACAATCAGTGTTTGGGTCACTCTTGAGGGAGCATCTGATAGGTGGTGAGGAGACATTGTATTACCTTCTCACCATCTGCTTTAACTCCTTAGATCCAGCAAAATACCTTGGGGGGTTGCATTCCAAGCTTGGGCCATTTTGTGAGTGTTTTCTCCTGTCTTGGCACTTCAGCTACTCAAGAAATATGATAGGTAGTCAGGAAATTAGACATGTAATTTATTTTATTTCAAAGCCTGACAGCTCTCCTTGGATTTTGGGCCCCTCTATGCATCTACGCTGTGAAAAAATCTCACATATGTGGTATCCCCATACTCAGGAGTAGCAGAATGTGTCATGGGATGTAATTGTAAGTATGCTGTGTGTGAGAAATAAATTGTTAAAATTACCAATTGTAAAAAAAAAAAAACTCCCCAAAAAACCCAAATTGTATTTATTTTCGTTATTTTCCAAAAAATTGTGACACAAAATTACAACTTCATGTAGCGCTACCGTCAAAAGAGACACAGTGCAGAGACTACCAGTTACATAAGCAACAGTCTGGCCCATTAAAAACAGTCTAGAGGATGTCTTTTTAAGATTTTTTGCTTGCAGAATTTTAACAATATTGTGAAAAAGGGCATGGGATACTCCAGAACATGTAAGAATAGTAATAGAGCACACTCTACTCTAGGTAAAGGTAGCACAATCTAGCTCTCACATCTGGAAACCATGGGGTAGTTTACAGAACAGTCTATTTACTCATAGTTGGGGACCATGAGATAGCTCCAAAATAATTAAAGCCTCATAGCTGGGGACCATGAGATAGCTCCAAAATAATTAAAGCCTTATAGCTATGGACATGAGATAGCTCCAGAATAATTAAAGTCTCATAGCTGGGGACCATGAAGCAGGTCTCTCTGATTATGTTGCTTTAGGGAGTCATTCAGGGTCTATACTCACAACGTCTACAGCAGCTACATCCTCAGACTTGTTTCCTTGATAGAGAAATCCAGCATTCAGTCTAGAAGTGCTTCAGGGGCAAGCAGCCCCCTGAAGCTCACAGATCCATCCCTGAAAAGGAAAAGACAATATCCTTAAGGCTTCAGGTTATTTACCACCTGCCAGACCACCTTCTGGGCATACCTTTCCAGGGATTGGCCAGGGCATAGTAAATATTCAGGTCAGTCATTTGAATTACCCGTGCCTGTGAAACCATGAGCAGACCAAAGCAACGTATCACTGTTCCTCTGATTACAGAGCAAGCACAAAAACTAAATTTACCTAGCATCTTATACTAAAAGGGTGTGACATTCACAAAACTCACTATGCCTCTTATTAAATACCTTGGATCGTCTAATTTTCAAAAAAGGAGGGGCATGTGTACTGTCCTGGCATTTTATAAGATAGGTAGTAGGTACTGATCAATTTCCATATACAGTACATAAGTATATATAATATATATATATATATATATATATATATATATACGCACACACACCACAAACTATATTGCCAAAAGTATTGGGACACCCCTTCAAATCATTGGATTCAGGTGTTCCAATCACCCCCATGGCCACAGGTGTATAAAATCAAGCACCAAACATGCAATCTGCTTCTACAAACATTTGTGAAAGAATGGGTCGCTCTCAGGAGCTCAGTGCATTTAAGTGTGGTACTGTGATAGGTTGCCTCCTAAGTCCATCCGTGACATTTCCTGGCTACTAAATATTCCAAGGTCAACTGTTAGTGGTATTATACCAAAGTGGAAGCAAATGGAAACAACAGCAACTCAGCCACAAAGTGGTAGGCCACGTAAAATGACAGAGAGGGGTCAGTGCATGCTGAAGTGTACAGTGCGCAGAGGTTGCCAACTGTCTGCAGAGTCAATAGCTAAAGACCTCAAAACTTCGTATGGCCTTGAGGGACAGATGGGTGGGCCGCGATGTGTTTCTGAGGCTCTGCCTCCTTTATCAAGCTGGACCGCCCAGCGGGAAGAAGGAGAATTTATAGGCTGTGCACCCGGCCAAGGAACCAATAAAATTTGCAAAGCTTAGCCTCCTCAGCTGTTCACTTTGTTTGGCTAGCCCTGCCTACTGTCCCATTTTTGATTGGTTGTATGCAACATTTGCTTGAAGTGTGTTAGATGCGTATCAGTGTGCAGAGGGTTAGTTTGAAAATATTTATTAGTGTAGAACACTGCCATGTTGGGGTGCTCAGTATGGGAGAGGAGATCAATACCTAAAACAGAACAAAATTGAAAAGAATTCACTGATCATATCAAAACAAAAATGTTAATGATATTTTCATCCACACATTCTAGTTGTGTTCAAGGCATGAAAAGAACTTAAAAGAGAGCAGTTTCCTCTAATCTCCAATTTAAAAAAAAACTAACCACCGTTTTTTTTAATGCACCTGGTATTTTTATGCAAGGTCTGTATAAAAAAGTGTTTTTTTTTTCTTTGAAAAATTTTAGATTATTTGAAAATTCTCTTTTAAGTTGCTGAAAATATTTTTGGGAAAAATGTGAAATCCTTACAAGAAAGTCTGATTTACACCAAACATGCTTAGGCAAGGGTGACAACACTGATTACTTTAGATCAAAAATTCCATATGAATGTGCTACTGCACAGTGCTGGACGTCTTCTTGAAGTGACTTCACCGATGTCTGGAAAAGCGTGCTGGAAACATGGGTGTGGGGTATTATAAACTAAAAAAAAAAAATGAAAGTGGTTGTTAATCGTTACATGCACCCAGTGAAGGGACTGGCACAGGTGACACACAGAGGTGAAACAAATCCTCCTACATAGGTTGTACCTGTTTATTTGCAGCCATTTGTCCTTTACATCCTTGTAAAACTCAGCGATTAAAAGGATTTTTCACAAACTCACAAAGGAGGGGGCAGGGAGTTGCAGTTACACACTGTACAAGAGGTCTGAGAGCTGACTGGAGGGAATGGACATCCCCCTTCACGCAGCACACAGGAACAGAGCTGAGGCTGTCAATCAGCTGCCTCCCTTGTCACCCTTTTTCTCTTGGTGTCAGGAAAACTTGTCAGAAGTGACTCATTCTAATAGCAGAGGAACTAGTCAGCAGAGAGAAATGGCACTTAGTGCTTTGTAGGGAATCAAGTAAACACTATAGAAATATTTGCTTTGCTCAGATTTCTTGTCTGTGGCTTACAACCACTTTAACCTCTTCCCGACCATACTATAGCCAAAACACAGCTACAGCGTGGTTGTCCAGTTCTGGGAGGACATCTATAATGACGCCCCCCGAGACATGCACCCATTCTAGGCACACAGCTGATCACAGATCGCGGTAAAGGGTAAATCACAGCTGATCGCATTGTAGACAGACTTGCTGGTAATTGGCAGTCCTTTCCTCATGTGCTATCACAGTGTGAGGAGAGGAGAGCTAGTAAACGGCAATTCACACAAGGGACATTTACACTGATATTCATGGCCTGATTATCAGTGCAGCCTCATCAGAGCTGCCTATCAGTGCCCATCAATGCACCTATCAGTGCCCATCGGTGCTGCTTATCAGTGCCTCCTCATCAGTGCCCATCATTTGCACCTATCAGTGCCCATCAGTGCTGCATTTCAGTGCAGCCTCATCAGTGCCCATCAGTGCCACCTCATCAGTGCTCATTAGTGCAGTTTCATCAGTACCCATCAGTGTGGCATCTTCAGTGCTGCCTATCAATGCCCATCAGTGCTGCCTATTAGTACCTCCTCATCAGTGCCCATCATTTGCATCTATCAGTGGCACCATCAGTGCCACCTATTAGTGGCCATCAGTGCCGTGTTTCAAGGCAGCCTGATCAGTGCCTCCTCACCAGTGCCAATCAGTGCCACCTCATCAGTTCCCATCAGTGCAGCCTATCAGTGCCTCCTCACCAGTGGCAATCAGTGCCATCTCATCAGTGCACATCAGTGCCACCTCATCAGTTCCCATCAGTGCAGTCTATCAGTGTCTATCACTGCAGTCCAACAGTGCAGGCTCATGAGTGCACATAAGTGAAGAAGAAAAATTACGTATTTGCTAAAAAAAAAATTCTAAATTGTTTGTCTTTTTTTGTTTTTAAGCAAAAAGTAAAAAACCCAGTGGTGATTAAATACCACCAAAAGAAGGCTCTATCTGTCTAAAAAAAAAAAGAAGATAAATGTTTTCTCTGGGTACAGTGTTGCATGGCCGCGCAATTGCCATTCAAAGTGCGACAGCACTAAAAGCTGAAAATTGGCCTGGGCAGGAAGGGGGTGAAAGTGCGGCGGTACTGCTGTGGTTATAGTTAACACTGTACGTGTTTTAATCAGTGGGCTGGGGGACTGCATTTTCAAGTTAAGCTTTGGTCAGCAGTGATAAAAAAACAGTATCATTGCAAGGGTTGATGGCTTGTTTAGTCTAGGGCACAGGCAGGGGCAGACTGACAACTCATGGAGACACCGGGCAATAGGGGATCATGGGGCCCCTGTGTCCTTGCCCAAACTCAAAAAAGCATATGAAAAAGGTACCAGGGGCATCTCATGGGGCCCCTACTGACCCCGGGCCCTCGGGCAGTGCCCGAGTTTCCAAATGGTCAGTCCGCCCCTGGGCACAGGTGTCAAACTGGCGGCCCTCCAGCTGTTGCCAAACTACAAGTCCCATAAGTCATTGCAAGATTGACAGTTACAAGGATGACTCCAAAAGGAAGAGGCATGATGGGACTTGTAGTTTTACAACAGCTGGTGGGCCGCCAATTTGACACCCCTGGTCTAGGGGGTAAGGAATAAGCACACACGTAGCTTATTCTATGTTCCTGCATGCTTCCTTCCCAATGTACGACTGGTCCCAAATACAAATAAAAATGATACTCGTGAGCTAAAATGTGATATTCTCTTTGTGCAACAACCTTATAAAATATGAAATTATAACAAATATCAAATCAATATGTGATGCATCAACACTAAACACATACTCATAATTTGTGTGAAAATATCAAAATAATATCTAGATGTGTTGCGCGCTTCACTGTATAAAAATCAATGATAAACATGTGACTAAAAATAATATGAACGTGAAAAAACCATGTGCTTCCCCCTGATGAAGCAACGTGACCCTGTGGCGTAACGCGTAGGGGAGGGGCTCTGACATCACAACGCTGATGTGGAGAAGCGACAAATACAAATGAGGATCTGGGCACAGCTCAACCGTTTATAACAGCACTGGAATATGTGAGTGCAAATTTTCATTACAATAAAAGCATCTATTTTAAAAAGGATAAGGCACTATTGTCACTTCCTTTTCCATGTTATCCCCCATTGCCGGGAAGGTGGAAGCATTAGTCTTTGCCCCATCTATCCACCAAGGATCAGTGTGGATAGAAAGGAGAGAGGGAGACCCCTGGTGGGAGAAAAGTGGTAATACAAGCCCATCCATTTGAATGTGGAAAAAAGCACCCTGCATGGAAAACATCATTTAGTCCTGTTGGGACAAAAGCGATATTAGCCACTTAGTTTGGCTAATCGGTAAGGTGAGCGTACACCTATTCTTTAGCACTGGGAGTGTTGCACGGCACATTTATTGGCACCGGCAAGATTTGAAGCACAAAGTGGACTTTATAATAATTTATGATTGTGCACTTATTTTTATATTTATGTTTTGTTGCACAGAATATTGCACTGTTTGAAGCACATGGTTTTTCACGTTCATATTATTTTTAGTTACATGTTTATCATTGATTTTTATACTGTGAAGCGCGGCACATCTAGATATTATTTTGGTCCCAAATACAGTTCCTCTGGCAATTGCTGCTCTCCTCTGACACCACACATGGGTGGGCTCTTGACGTCCTCATGTACAATGCAGGACTTTTGGTCCTGCATAGCACGGTATGATGCTGGAGAGGTGGCAACTGAACAGCTGAGGAAGAGAAGCAGCTTCAAGGGACTGGTGGTATGGTGAGGAGGAAGCATGTGGGAGCAAGGAATAAGTTAAGTGTTTCTGTATATTCCATACCCCCTAGACTAAATGAGCAAATAGCCCTTGCTGTGTGGAGGACAACGACCTAGTCATTTTCTACTGCTGATTGGAATTCAGCTTTATTATTCTAAAAGCCAAAAGCAGAGAGATTGTTGATTCACAGCATATTTTTTACACCAAAAAAGCAGATCGTGGGAGGCGGATCAGGCATATTATCAGTAGAGCGGATTTTAAGAATTTAGCTAATCTGTTTACGTCGTACGTGTCTTGCTTCTGCTTACAATAATACCTAAAGAGCTAGGCAGTGTGCAATGAAAACGTTATAAAAACGAATTACATTGTATAAATGAATGAAATTAAGCATCTCAAGGGCTGCACATTTCATGCACTAAATGGGTCCCTTAGCAGGTTGATGGATGGTGGCTCCAGTAACTGCAGGAACATAAGTCAGGAGGTGGAGGAGTTAATTAGAAGGATTGGGGGTCACCTTGAAAGGTGAGCATTGGAGTAATGTTTTAATAAGGCCTTCGTTTATCTGGAAATGCCGTCACTGCGCATAATTACTAGATGTTTAATACGCCAGACGGGGAGAATGTCCTCTTAGAAATGTCAACACTGTGTAGGACTCTGCAGCTGATCAAAGGATGTGCTTATTGGGTTACACTTTGGTAATCGCTTTTCTGCCAAATCCCGGCAAGTGAGCTGTAAAATGACAAGGCTGCAGTGTGCAGTTCTGAATGTGTCCTTTAATGTGTAGCATACATATTACATCTAATATAACAAAAACAGCTGCAGGTTTGCATTACTAACACAATGATACTTGGAATCACATAGACTTGGAAATATTACAAGCTGCTCTTTCCGTCAATGCTTCTGCATTTTACAGTAGTTTCCATAGGTCATTGCTGAGAAGCTGAAGTAGCAGTAAAGCAGCAGCCAGAGACCCTGCTCCAGGGAGGGCAGGCTGACATTTTTTAAAATTGAATTCTACCATGGGGGACAAAGCAATAGGTTCACTTTAATTTTGGCTCCAGAAGCAGCACATTTCTTGGCCTGGGCCTTTGATGAAAGCTAACAAGGCACATAAGACGAAAAGGCCGAGGTGGGAGGTTATATTTGCAAACCTTTGGACATATTAAAAACCTGTTTTACTTATTTATTAAAGTAAATGAACATGTTTGTAAAAAATGGTGACCCCCCCCTCCCTTCTAGCCCCTTAAATCCACAGATCTGGTCCCACCATTCAGCAGGTCCCTGCTTTCTTTTTCCAATGACTGAGGCCTCCTGTCCTGTCTGCAGCCTGGTCAGTAAAAATTCAGTGCTGGGCTGTCCACCCTGAGCATCCTGAAAACTAAAATGGGATGTTGCTGCTGGTATACGCATGCATCTTGCTTGAAGCTATGGGAAATTAGTGCATAGCATAGGCAGCCTGACACTATATTTGTACTAGCTGGGTAGCATAGGAAGCTGGAGCTGTTGGGAAAGTATGGACTTGCTTGAGAAGGGACTTAGATCTACGTATGAAGGAAGCTAGGAAGAAGCTGGGAAAAGTTATCCTTAAAGGAAATCTCTTTTGGCCATACTTTGCCTATGGATCACAGTAGTTCTGCACTCCTGTGACCCAATTTCAGCCGGCAGAGGGCTAAACTCCACTGTTGGCTGAAGTCACAGAGCCGGTCCAAACTCTAAAAAGATCCCAATCATATGGCCATCCTCAGGGCTACTGTTAGAAACCACGGGGCTCCATACAGCCAAACTGGCAGGGCCCCCCCTTCCAAAACCCCCCCATAGTTTCCTATACTTCAGTTATGAATGTACACAGTAAGTTATTGGTACCAATCACTCATTGTGTTCATTCAGGAAAGGCAGAGGCTGGTAAATGTGACGTATTTACTGGACCCTTCTCCCCACTCAACATCCTGAAAGATCTTGTGTGCTTGCAACTGCTGAAAGAAGAGAGGGAAGCCGGCAGCACTGTGGGGGCGAGGGAACACGGGGGACTTGGGCAGCAGGGGGAAATGTATGGTGCTCCGGGAGGGTGATGGGTGTAGTGGGGGATAATTACTGGAACCGATTTCCTGTATGGCTCTCTCTGCAGCAGCTGAAAGCCAGCGGGAGGGAGAGGGGAAGAAGTCAACTTTCAGCTGCTGCAGAGAGAGTCATACAGGGGATCAGCTAGGTCAGCGTTAAATCAAAGAGCCAGAGGTTCTGGAGTGAGGAGGCTCCATTTTCTGGGATTGAGTGTGTACTGTACTTGATCCAGCTACTCAAAGGAGAAGTGACTGTGGGGTGTTTTACAAAGGGAACAGAGGGGCGACGGACTAAGTACAGGATATCCCGAAGAAGTCACATGATTTAGCGTGACGTAACACGTAGGTATGTGGGGAGGAACTTCTGGTACGCGGTGACGTCACTTCTTGGTGCACCCTAAACCCATGAAGTACACCCATAGTGTGTGGTGTAAAGGTGAATGTTTCATTACAGACGTGTGAGTGGGCATTTTTATATCTTTATAATTGGCTTCATTAAAACGTTATCACACTATGGAGGATCTTTTTGTTTCATTACTGTGGTCCTGTGTGGAGGGTAAAAAGTGTTGCTGATGCCAGTGGCTGGAGGAGACCTATAAGGAGAGGAGTGCCACCATTGATCCACAAGTGGGTGATTGACCCACGAAGGGTACTACCTGTGAGGATCGTTGTGTGATCCTAAAAGCGAGCTGGCCCTGTGGGGTCATTGTAAGGAGGTGAGGGGGCATTTTGGCCATTTGAGGATTTGCACCTGTGATCACGACGATCACACAAATACCACCTGCATGTGTTTTGAATATTTGGAGCACGATTTGATTTGTTTTTGGACTGTATTCCTTTTAGCATTTATATGTGGGGTACTCTGATTTGTGTTTGTGTTTTACTGTGGAATTTTGTCAAGTGTGGTTCACTGATCACATTTTAGCAATTTATCCCTGGCTAGGGATGAACGCACTATTTTGCACTATTTATTTTTAATTAAGTGATCTTAGATTTTTTTCAATTGTTTGATCACGTGTGTATATAATTTATCACTGTATCATGTATATATATTGATCTTTTTATGATCCTTACACTGTTGGGAGGGAATTAGTTTTATTTTTGAGTCACATACACTTTGGGGTTGAGGTATCTAGTGCCAGCAGCTTAGAGATAGGGATTATCCATATAAGCACAGGAGGACTTCATATTATCATCTATAAAGAATATACGTAACTGGTTACTATTTATAGGAAAAGTTGATCCAGGGAATATCCGATTGCCTCTCCGGGGATCAGGAAGTAATTTTTCTCCCTTGCAGGAGCAAATTGGTTCATGCTTTGCTGGGGTTTTTGCCTTCCTCTGGATCAACTGTGGGTGTAGGATTATAACTTTTTTTTTAATGGTTGAACTGGATGTTTTTTCAGCCAGACTAACTATGTAACCACTACCACTACTACTACCACTACTACTAGTTAAGACAATGTACATTGCTGCCCAGAATGTGCAATACAGCTTGCAACCTGTACAGAACAGCCAGAAGTTTATCAGTCCTCAAATTCTAGTTTTACAGTTTGGGGAATCCCATGCTCCCATCCCTATTCAAGCTCTTCATTCCCCAATAACAACACCAGGGGTGTTTTTACCACAAGGCAAACAAGGCATTTGCCTAGGGCGGCATTATTCAAGGGGGCAGCGTCATCTTTCAAGGGGGCAGCACCGCCACCCAAAAGAAGGAAAGGAAGAAGGGACACACTCAGCATGGGGCCCAGGTGGGATCTTAGAGAGGCTGCGGGCTGCTTAATCGTGTATGCAGAGCCTGATTCTTGTTCACAGGGATGTCCGAAGCTGTGAAGGTGAGTGTCTTCTCTTTCGCATGGGTGGGGGTTGCAAGTGTATGGGGGACGGTGGTAGTGGAAGGCTCTCTTGGGTGGGATGGGGGGCTGAGGTGTTGTTGATCAATAACAGGCTCTATTCGGGGGGTAGGGAGGTGTTGGTCAGTGTCAGGGTCTCTCCGTGGGGCAGGGGGGGAGCCAAATTTTGTGTTGCCTAGGGCAGCACGAAACCTAAATACACCACTGACCAACACCATGCATAAAACCCTTGGACTGATTACTGAGCCTGTGAAGAATGCTAAAAAATGGAGTGTGCCTGCTTGTGCGTAGGGAGGAATTCACCCTACCAATGGCTTTTTTGAGGGTTAGCCTTACACATATAAAGTTTGTTGAGATCAGTAGCTGACAAATAAGGGCCAACTCTACATAATTCCAGTTAATCATGGAGTCAATGACGAGACTGCAGGATGTAAATCCATCGTCATAGTTGAAACAATAATTTGTATTAGGGGATGATGCTTAAAAAACTGAATTGTATTGAATAACAAATTCAATAATGTGCAAGTAACAATAAAAGACTTCAACACATAATAGCCACTTGTATTCAGCCCCCTTACTCTAATACCGCTAGCTAAAATCTAGTGGAACCAATTGCCTTCAGAAGTCACCTAATTAGTAAATAGTCCACCTGTGTGTAGTTTAATCTCAATATAAATACAGCTGTTCTGTGAAGCTCTTAGTAGTTTGTTAGAGAACACTAGTGAACAAACAGCATCATGAAGGCCAAAGAACACACCATAAGGGTCAGGGATAAAGTAGGGGAGAAGGTTAAAGCAGGGTTAGGTTCTAAAAAAAATCCCAAACTTTGAACATCTCACGGAGCACTGTTCAAGCCACCATCTGAAAATGGAAAGAGAATGGCACAACTGCAAACCTACCAAGACATGGCCGTCCACCTAAACTGATAGGCCGAGAAAAGAGAGCATTAATCAGAGAAGCAGCCAAGAAGCCCATGGTAACTCTGGAGGAGCTGCAGAAATCCACAGCTCAGGTGGGAGAATCTGTCCACAGGACAACTATTAGTCGTGCACTCCACAAGTCTGTCCTTTATGGAAGAGTGGCCAGAAGAAGGCCCTTGTTGAAAGAAAGCCATAAGTCCCATTTGCAGTTTGTGAGAAGCCATGTGGGGGACACAGCAAACATGTGGAAGAAGGTGCTTTGGTCAGATAAGACCAAAATTTTACTTTTTGGCCTAAAAGCAAAACGCTATATCTGGCAGAAAACTTACACTGCACATCACCCTGAACACACCATCCCCACTGTGAAACATGGTGGTGGCAGCATCATGTTGTCAGGATACTTTTCTTCAGCAGGGACAGGGAAGCTGGTCAGAGTTGATTGGAAGATAGATGGAGCCAAATACAGGCCAATCTTAGAAGACACCCTGTTATAGTCTACAAAAGACTTGAGACTGGGCAGAGGTTCACCTTCCAGCAGGGCAACGACCCTAGACATACAGCCAGAGCTACAATGGAATGGTTTAGATCAAAGCATATTCATGTGCTAAAATGCCCCAGTCAAATTCCAGACCTAAATCCAATTGAGAATCTGTCGCAAGACTTGAAAATTGCTGTTCACAGACACTCTCCATCCAATCTGACAGAGCTTGAGCTTTTTGCAAAGAAGAATGGGCAAAAACGTCCTTCTCAAGATAGACTTGCAGCTGTAATCACAGTGAAAGGTGGTTCTACAAAGTATTGGCTCCGGGGGGCTGAATACAAATGCATGCAACACCTTTCAGATATTTTTTGTATAAAATTTTGAAAACCATTTATCATTTTCCTTCCACTTCACAATTATGTGACACCTTGTGTTGGTCTATCACATAAAATCCCAATAAAATACATTTACGTTTTTGGTTGTAACATGACAAAATGTAGAACATTTCACGGGGTATGAATATTTTTTCAAGGCAATGTATGCCACTGTCATGAAGTATCCCAAAGCTCCCTATGTTGTATCCAAGTTAACCAGCAATACATTAAAAAAAATGGAACCCATAGACTGATCATTGAGCCAAGAGTGATTGTTGGTCTGTATCTGCCTGCTATTGCACTAATCAGGGAAAGGAACCTGAGACAAATGTGTGGCACCTATGGGAGTGAGCGCTATAGGTATATTATTGTACAAATGTGATCCTGTGTACATACTTACCTTTTTTGTCACTTAATTGTGCCCTGCTGTAGAGAACCGGCCTCCCAATGTCTGATGGGAAACCTACACTTTCAGGAACATCAATCTCCATAGTCCCCTGCAGTGCTCACTAGTTCCTCCTGCTGACCTCCATGTCATTACAGGAGAGAGTAATGATACGAAGGTCAGCAGGAGAAACCAGTGGAAACTGCAGGGAACCCAGGAGACAAACAGAAAGCAGATCCTGTATATGCAATAAGCAAACATGGATGTCCCCCATGTGTATATATTATTATAAATTATACATAGAAGATTTTTTTATAACAATAATGCACATTGATAAGATTATTTACATTAAATGATCTCTTTGAATGTATAAATAACATTAAAAAAACTTTTAAAAAGGGCAAATCATTATCTGCATTTAATGTAGCAGAAAGACCCCCTCCAAAAATGCTCCATAATGCATGAAAAAACGCATATAAAGGCATTTAACTACAAGCATAGAAAATACTGTATTTCAAAAACTGTATGTGGTTATTACATATAATAATAACATTCAGCATATGAATTCTTTGTTTTTCACATGCTTTTATTTAGAATCTTTCCACATTTACATGCGGGCCAACCGGTCCATTAAAAGTGACAGCAAGAAAAGCTGGGATAACCCATAACACTATCAGAAGTACTTACAACAATTGCCTTTAATTCCTAAGAATTGAAGTACACTACAGGACCCATATAGGGCAATGTAACAGGTTCCATTAAGGGCAATGTGACAGGTTCTCTTCATAGCCCCACCAGCCTTGCTCATACTTACCTTCAACATGCTCCTTCTCTGCTTCGTATGCCAAACAGAGCCCTTAGAAATACCCAATATTTTTTAATATGAACCTTCTCACCTTCCTATATGGATGCAGAGTGCATGTTGAATTGATAATTGCTGTTCAAGTAGGACTGTGGCGGGGGAATGTGGGGTACTGTAAAATAGGTATGTATAAGCACGAAGAAGGGTCTGCTATCAAGAGAACCTGTCACTCCACTATAAAGCTGAACCCCAGGAATGATCTTCATTGTATCTTGGATTGGTCCACCTTTGACCTATTTAAAAATGCATATTTCATTCCCGAGAGACCACTATGGAAGGTGACAATCAATAGTAGTCTACTACAGTGACTGCCGCAAACTTCTCAGTCCTGTGCATGGGTCTCTTGCTCTGCACTGCCACCATTCACAAAATGCCTTGCATTTTTGTCATGAATACAAGGCATTCTCTGAGTGGACAAGGTGGAGATCTGAGGCAGTGACATCAAGATCTCTACCTTGTCCAATCAGAGAAAACCTTGTATTCATTGAAAAAGTACAGGGTGTTCTGTGAATGGTGGCGGTGCAAAGCAAGAGACCCCCTATGGTAAGTGTCCAGAGGGGAAGCCACTCTGCACAGGACTTGGAAAATAGCAGCGATCACTGTAGTAGTGGTGACTACTACAGTGAATGTCACCTTCCACAACAGTCCCTAGGTATGAAATACGCATATTTACATTGATCAAAGCTGGACCAATGTATCTATACAATAAAGACCCTACCTCGAGTTAAGCTTTAAAACTGTTGTTGCAACTTTTCAAGGCAACATTAAAGTTTGCCCCAACCAGGGGCGGACTGACAACTCATGGGGCCCCGGGCAATAGGGGATCATGGGACCCCTGTGTCCTTGCCCAAACTCAAAAAAAGTCTATGAAAAAGGTACCAGGGGCATCTCATGGGACCCCCTACTGACCCCCGACCCTCGGGCAGTGCCCGAGTTTCCAAATGGTCAGTCCGCCCCTGGCCCCAACCCCTGTCACTGTCATTGTCATGGAAGTGTGAACACAACTATAAATAAACAGATGTATCATTTAGCATACAGATTTAAAGCTAAAGTTTAGGTTTGCATACAGTATATTTGCATAGGTACATTGGTCTAACTTGGACCAATGCAAGCAGGCATGTGCCATACCTGGCTGATCCCCATGGAAGCTGGAAATCACTGTTGTAGGCACCACCACTCTACCTGTTACCTCTACAGTGATCACCACTAGCTTCTGAGTCCAATGCTGAGCAGCTGCCTTTGCTACTTAGTGAACAAAGGAGGTTGCTTGCTTGGCAAGGGTGCCATTTAGAGAACACCATCCTGCATCTCCACTTTGTCCAATCAGGGGAGGCTTTGTATTCATTGTGATAATGCAAAGCATTGTCTGAATGGTGTCCGTGCTAAGCCAGTGACTCCATATCTGCACTAAGCAGGAGGAAAGCCATTCAGCATAGTACCTGGAAGCCAACGGAAATCACTGTAGTAGAGGGGAATTGGCCAGGTATGGAACATGCATCCTCTTTGGTGTTTGTCAATGTTGGAGGTGTGAGCAGCCTGGTCCAGGATAGCCAGGTGCAAGACCTGGCAGATTATAGATGCAATATTTGGCTGCGAGCCTTTCTTCCATTCTGCTGGAAAGGATTTCAGGTCATCTTCTCTTGGGCAATATTTAAAATGATATTATACCTCCTGCCTTAAGAGGTCTCAGACTCTGGTAAGGATGTCCATGTGGTGGAGGTTGGGGCACCGAGGCTGGTGGAGGTGTCATCACAATTGGAAGCATTATTTTGACATTTTTAATATGGACTTATTATTTCATATTTGTTATTGTTTTTGACTTAGTTATATGCAGAACCGTGCAACACATTTTCTGTATGAAGGAACATGCATACCCACATTGGTCAGAGCTGGACCAACGTAACTTCAAAAGTATGCATTCCTAAACTTCAGCTTTAAGAATATAATATTTTTGAGACAGCTGGCTTTAAAAAATGTCCCGCTAAGTTTTTTGTTCCACGCACAATTTGGCGTTATTTGGATTACTCAGAAATGGCAGAATAAATGTAAATCATAAAAGCCAATTCCTACAGAATGGAGTTTGCTTTGCCATACAGCAATCTTGCTTTATGTGAGTGATTTGCTTTAGGCATGCAGAATCAGAGCTCCACTACATGAGGATTCCGTGCTGAGAAGCATTGTGATATTTAGCCGGCAACGTTGTGCATAAGAAAACAGTGGTGATGTTTGACTGAGCCGCTGAGCATTGTATGATTAGACTGGCAGCCAATGAAAGGTGAGTATCGCGCGGTGTCCTCTGGCTGCACAGTCGCGTAATTGATCCATATAAACAAACTCAGCGAGAATGACTGAAACACAAGCATGTGTAAATAAGAAGTGTTATTTGTACAAGCCGAGAAAAGTTACTGTGTGTGCCAAAAGACAGAAAGGCCTCCAAGGCATCCACGGTGCTGTGCGGGGAGAGACTGCTAATGCTTAGGAAGAGCAATAATCATGAGAAGTATTTAGGGAACTGGGGCCACAGACATACCGATATTTAGGCACAAATCATAGGACCTTGCAAAGGAAGCAATCTAAGGTGGAACTCTGGGAAGTGATAAAAAAATTATAATTGTACACAACCACCCCAATCCAAAGCCAATAAAGAAAATATTGATTATTATTCTAGGGAATGATCTAACACAGAGTAATGCTTATCTTACTCCATGTTCACAGGACCTCCAGCAGTCCAATCCTCTCCTCTCCCGTGCTGGAATGAGGGCATTGCTGTTCAGAAACTGCTGTCAAGTTGTTCCTCCATAAGGAGAGTTCATTACAAATCTGTGAAGTGACTGTTTTCTCTGAGTCTATTCAAGTTTTATCCTGTGTTGAGCACTGATGAAGGGGGGAGTAGTGTTGTCCCCAAAACACGCTGGATGCTTTTATATGGCTTTTTTAAATAAACAATTAAAATTCTATTTGTTTGTAGACGGTCCCAGAAAACCCTGTTTCTTCAAAGAAGCTTATTCTGCTCCCACCTAACAACTGGAGTTTTATTTTCTCCATCAGCTCAATCCCCACAGTTACAGTTGCAAGAAAAAGTATGTGAACCCCTTGGGATTACGTGGAGTTTTGCATGAATTGGGCATAAAATGTGCTCTGAACGTCATCTAAGTCACAACAATAGAAGAACACAGTCTGCTGAACATAATACTACACAAACATTAGATGTTGCCATGGTTTAATTGCACATAACATGTAAACATTCACAGTGCAGGGAGGAAAAAGTATGTGAGACCCTAGCTTAATGACTTCTCCCAGAGCTAATCGGAGCCAGGAGTGAGCCAACCTTGACTCCAATCAGTGTGATGATATTGGATATGTTGCTGACAGCTGTCCTGCCCTTAAAAAACACACACCTGTTTTGGGTTTACTGGTTTCAAGAAGCACTGTCTGATGTGAACTATGCCTCTCAGAAAAGAGCTCTCAGAAGACCTACGATCAAGAATTGGTGACTTGCATGAAGCTGGAAAGGGTTACAAAAGTATCTCCAAAAGCCTTGATGTTCATGTGTCCACGGTAAGACAGACTGTCTACAAATGGAGAAAGTTTAGCACTGTTGCTACTCTCCCTAGGCATGGTCGTCCTGTAAAAATGACTGCAAGAGCACAGCGCAGAATGCTGTATGAGGTAAAGAAGAATCCCAGAGTGTCAGCTAAAGACCTACAGAAATCTCTGGCACATGCTAACATTTTTGTTGACACATCTACAATAAGGAAAACATTAAACAAGAATGGAGTACATGGGAAGACACCACGGAGGAAGCCATTGCTGTCCAAAAAGAATATTGCAGCACGTGTGAAGTTTGCAAAAGAGCACCTGGATGTTCCATAGCACTACTGGCAAAAATATACTGTGGACAGATGAAACCAAGATTGAGTTGTTTGGGAAGAACACACAACACTATGTGTGGAGAAAAAAAGGCACAGCACACCAACATCAAAACCTCATCCCCACTGTAAAAACATGGCGGAGGGAGCATCATGGTTTGGGGCTGCTTTGCTGCCTCAGGGCCTGGACGGATTGTTGTCATTGATGGGAAAATGAATTCCAGAGTTTATCAAGACATTTTGCAGGAAAACGTACGACCATCTGTCTGCCAACTGAAGCTCCGCAGAGGGATGGGTGATGCAACAGGACAATGACCCAAAGCATACAAGTAATTCAACAAAACAATGGCTGCAACAGCACAGAATACGCCTTCTGGAGAGGCCCAGTCAGAGTCCTGACCTCAACCCGATTGAAATGCTGTGGCATGACCTTAAGAGAGCGATTCACACCAGACATCCCAAGAATATTGCTACCCTGCACTGAAACAGTTTTGTGAAAGAGGAGTGGTCCAAAATTACTCCAGATCGTTGTGCAGGTCTGATCTGCAACTACAACAAAAAAGTTTTGGTTGAGGTTATTGCTGCCAAAGGAGGGTCAACCAGTTATTAAGTCCAAAGGTTCACATACTTTTTCCTCCCTGCACTGTGAATGTTTACATGTTTATGTGCAATTAAACCATGGCAACATCTAATGTTTGTGTAGTATTATGTTCAGCAGACTGTGTTCTTCTATTGTTGTGACTTAGATGACGTTCAGAGCACATTTTCTGCCCAATTCATGCAAAACTCCACGTAATCCCAAGGGGTTCTCATACTTTTTCTTGCAACTGTACCTTTTGTATCACCTTGACCTTCCCTCCTAGATTGTAAGCTCCAACGAGCAGGGCCCTCTGATTCCTGCTGTATTGAATTGTATTGTAACTGTACCATCTGCCCTCATGTTGTAAAGCGCTGTTCAAACTGTTGGTGCTATATAAATCCTGTATAATAATAATAAACTCTCTTATCTAATTTTGGTTTGGCTCTACTTTCTTTTATAGGCCATATGGTTTGAATTACTGTTGTGTGCCAATCGAGGGAAGCCTTGATGTGTGAGAGCTGCCTTGCCAGAGCTATTGGGCTTGTTTGAAGTTTTCCTTCATCTGACTACAAATGCAAGTCTAAAAGTTACCAGCATCTATCTTAACACGTCCTGGAATGTGGGCACACAATCCTAAAGAATAAAATATATTGGAGGACCAACGGCCATGTCATCAGGATGGGACTTGGCTGCTAGTTCTGCATGGTGCGTGGTAATGTAGGTCCTTTCACATGGGCCATCCAAGGTCTAATCAGCAGAGAAACTGTAAACCTATCTCCTTCTGAATAGGAGCAGAATGGAACAGTTGTCACTTTTGTGATATCCATGTTTGCTGTCTCTTAAAATTGGAGCTTTCTAGAACCATGTTACATCTATTGGCAACCAGATGTATATACATGACTTTACATCAGGCTACCTCAGATCTGTCAACGTTTTGGGCCAAAGTTCTGAAAATGACGAAGAGCTTTTCCATTTTTTTCCAGGACCTCAATGGATGAGATTGAGAAGGTAGTTCCAGCCAGTCATATACTAATATAGAGCTTCTGACCAGGTTTGTCTAAAAGTTTGATAGGTGCATTTGACTGGACCATTCATGTGAAAGGGGTCATAGGTAAGAGGGGTAGTAACCTGATCTGCTGAAGAGCATGAAAAAGAGAGGCTTCATGGGAAAAATCATCACAACTGGAGGGGAGGAAGACCACAAAACTGTGAATCACTACTAATTTTGATGTAAAAATTTCGTGAAAACGTGAAAAACAGTACATGGGTCCACAAGAACAAATAGTGATGTGCGACTATGAATATTCAAAAATAAATAAATATGGATGACATGAATGTCAGAAATGAATAATGAGTGAACAGGTGAACCCAAGAACAAACAAATCACTATAACTAAAACAACAATGTGTATAAACACAAAAAAGGTGTAAAAATCTACGATCAGCTAATGCGTGTAATGCAGGCCATAGATGGGGAGAAAACCGGCCGATTTTTCTTTAAAAAAATGAAAAAATCGGT